TGAAGCGATAATCATTGGCTCATTAAAGACGGTAGCAAGACCTTAGGGAAAAAGATTAGAAGAATTATAGATTCAAGGTGAAATTGAGATGAAAACAGGTAATGAAATTTGGCAAGAATATAAGGAAACGTCTGCAGATTTGAAGAAATTTACTGGGAATTATCTGCTTATGATAGGAAGAGGATTTTGTTTCCTTGAGTTAAAAGCAATAATTAGCATAAATCTATGAAGAGAGATTGAGGAAGGGTAACAGGAGGAGGAACAGTGTTACAAAGAAAGAAAGAAAGAAAGAAAGAAAGAAAGAAAGAAAGAAAGAAAAAAAAAGAAATTGAAAGAAGTAAACAATGGAAGAAAGAAAGAAAGAAAGAAAAAAAAAAAGAAAATAGAAAAGAAAGAAAAAATTAGACAAAAAAGAAGGAAGAAGATTAGTAATGTCAATGCAGTACAGAGCCAAGAAAGAAAGAAAGAAAGAATGAACGAGGAAAGAAGGAGAAAGGTGTAAACAATGAAGCACAAAAAGAAAAAAAAAACAAAAGAAAAAAGAAAAAAGAAAGAACGTGTAAAGGAGGAGGAGGAGAAAGATGTAAACAATGGAGAATAAAGAAAGGAAGAAAAAGAAAGAAAATAGAAAGAAAGAAAATAGAAAGAAAGAAGGAAGAAGATGTAACCAATGCAGTACAGAGCCATAAGGAAAGAACAAAGAAAGGAGGAGGAAAAGTAAACAATGCTGTAGAAAGATAGAAAGAAAAAAAGAAGAAAAAAGAAAGACAGAACGTGTAAAGGAGGAGGAGGAGGAGGATGTAAACAATGCAGTACAAAGAAAGAAAGAAAGAAAGAAAGAAAGAAAGAAAGAAAGAAAGAAAGAAAACAATGAAAGGAGGAGGAAGAAGTAAACAATGCTTTACAAAGATAGAAAGAAAAAAGGAAGAAAAAAGAAAGAAAGAACGAGAAAAAAAAAAGGAGGATGTAAACAATGCAGTACAAAAAGAAAAGAAAGAAAGAAAGAAAGAAAGAAAGAAAAAAGAAGAAAGAAAGAACAATGAAAGGAGGAGGAGGAAGTAAACAATGTTTTACAAAGATAGAAAGAAAAAAGGAAGAAAAAAGAAAGAAAGAACGAGAAAAAAGGAGGAGGATGTAAACAATGCAGTACAAAGAAAGAAAGAAAGAAAGAAAGAAAGAAAGAAAGAAAGAAAGAAAGAAAGAACCAATGAAAGGAGGAGGAGGAAGTAAACAATGTTTTACAAAGATAGAAAGAAAAAAGAAAACCAAAACGGGGGGAAGGGGAAGATGTAAACAATGCAGTACAAAAAAGAAAGAAAAGAAAAGAAAGAAAAACAGAAAGAAAGAAAGAAAGAAAGAAAGAAAGAAAGAAAGAAAGAAAGAAAAAGAAAGAACGGGGAACAAAGGAGAAAGATGTCAACAACTCTTGATGAAAAAAGCAAGAAAGAAAAAATAATGTCAGTATCATAAATGAAAGAAAGGAAGAAAGAGGAGAAAAAAGAATGAAGAAATACCAACAGCACAGAAGAAAAAAAGGAGGCAGTTGGCAACACTGAAGAGAAAAAAAAGAAAGGAAATAATATTTTCAGCCAAAAAGAAACAAAAGAGGATAAAAACCATAAATCATTAAAATATCAGACTTCTTCAGGTAAAACCATTTCCATCAATGCAACCACTTAAACCTTGGGTGACGTATCAACGTCATTCAGCGACGTTCTATCAGATTCCATCGTCATCGGTTGGAATCTTCAGATTACTTCATACATTTCACCAATAGTAGCAGACGTACTAATAGTGAACGTAGTATCAACATTAGTAGTGACCGCGGACATGACAAAGTGTTTTGGTACCGAACGCAGTAACAGCTAGCGAGTAAATTTAATAGAAGTCTATTAATGCGGACAGAAACACTAACCATAGTGGCCACTTTTCATTCCACTGGGAAAAATTCACTTGTCTAAGGTGCCAATGTTTTACCTAGATCTTTTAAAATCGAATGCAAGAAGAAGAAGAAGAAAAAAAAATAAAGAATATTTATATCGCAGAGATAGTTTCAATAGAATTTATGGGAAAAAAAGGGACGCTGAAGTATTGATGACTGTATAGATTTATTTCTCTTTATCATTTTACCCCAAGGGAGGCGGGAATTCCACTAGAAACCCAGGGTGCTACAGAGAGTGAAGGAAAGAATGGGTGTAGAGGGGACCGAGGAAAGGTTAAAAACTGAACAACATTCAAGAAGATAGGTGATGGCGATTGACGTTGCATTAATGTTTTGAAGATTGTACTTATCAGGGAAGTAAGGAAACGGAAGTGAGTTTCACAAGCGGGAAATGCTATCAAAGAAACTGTTGGAGTAGAATTGGCGGTTGCATTTAACTATTTCAACAGTAAAAGGGTGGGACCTAAATGCCAATCTAGTAGCACGCTTAAATTCATGTAGTCGGGGCAGCAGGGGAAAAAGCTCGTCAGATCAGTTGCCATGAAAATATTTGTAGGGAAGACACGTCAGGTCGGTGATAAACAGACTGAAGCCGAGATGCCAGGTCAGGATCGATTATATTACGGATCCTTCTTTAGATTTTATCAAGAACCTCGAGATGAACAACAGAAGCACTAGACAGATTTGGCAACAGTGTCCATGGCACGGACGAAAGATAGATTTGTAAAAGTGCAAAATAGAGTCAGATGAAAAAAACCTTCTTGCACGACACAGTGGCTCAACATTCCTTGCAGTAGATGCAGCTATTGATTCGATGTAGTCGTTCCATTTTAAATCAGTTGAAAGCGTGAGGCCAAGAAAGCGTAGTGAGACGTTCTCCTAGAGTCGAGCATCAGCCGGGCAGAAAACGTTTTGCCACCAAAAGATAAAATAACAAGAGACTGGTAACAAGAGTAATAATGATGTCGCGACAAATGCTGGATCAGGAAACTAAAAAACAAAAAATCCAAAATAAACATGGTCGCACACAGGACACATAAAAAAGAAACCAAAAAACCTATTAACAAGAACCTAATCTAACCATATTAAACGGGTATGCACGTGTAGCGTAAAGTTAATGGGGTAGCGAGTGAGATCAGCGAGCCAGAATTCAGACAATTTCTTCGACCATATCACCCCTTACATCTGGCCATCTATCCCCAGACTTCAACCCACTTGATTATTATGTGTGGGGCGCATTTGAGCAACAGACCAATAAACTTTCTTGTAACACCAAAGTTCAACTGAAAGCAAAGATTATAGCAACTTTCACCAACATAAACAAGGAGACCGTCCTGAAAAATTGCAGGAGATTCTGAAGTCGTTTGAAGGCAATGGTTGAAGCGATTTTATTGTATAAATTTACTCTTTAGTATTTCAAGATATTTTTTGTGTAATTTTGATCAATATATCTGTTAAAATGAGATGTCAAGTGTTATTTTCATTTTTGTGTAATTTAGATAATTTATTCATCCCAACATATATGTAGATATTATTCCCAAAATCCAAAGAAGAATCTGCAATGTTATTCGTTCTGATCTGGCATCTAGGCTTCTGTCCCTTTCCCAGTGGCATAGCGAAGCTTCTCTGTTCTTTTTCTATAAATGATTTCATGGTAAATGTTCTCATATACTTTCTCCCATGGAAATGGATACTATAAATTTAAGAGCATTACTAGATTGGCGGCAATGCATCATCATTTTGCAATTGTAATGGCTAGATGTAACCGTAAGTTATACACTAACATTTTCTTCTTACGCACTTCTCACGTGTGTAACTCTCTTTCGGTTTTTTGTTTCCAGTCGAATTTGATTTTCAGAAATTTAAATGCAATGTCAATCGTTATCTTCTGTCTTCTTAATTCTTGTTCTTTTATTGTCCTCTCTCTTTAATAGTAGTTTTTCTCATATTCTCTAACACTCAGTAACCTACTTGCGTCCTAGTGGCTTTATTGCCTTTGATCTTCAAATATTTAAATGCAATGTTAATCATTATCTTCTGTCTTCTTAATTTTTGTTCTTTTATTGTCCTCTCTCTTTAATAATAGTTTTTCTCATATACTTTCATATTCAGTAACCCCCTTGTCTCTTAGTGACTTTATTGCCTTTGATCTTCAAAAAAAATAAGTGCATGTCAATCGTTATCTTCTTAATTCTTGTTCTTTTATTGTCTTCTCTCTTTAATAGTAGTTTTTCTCATATTCTTTAACATTCAGTAACCACTCGTGTCTTAGCTTGGAGTAAAATGATTAAAAAAATGCCCAAAATGTAATGTGAATAGTTATTGTGAAAGGAATACCGAATGATTCCTTCCGGAAAATAGATTTCAAGCATAGAAAAATGTTTCTTAAAAAATAGGTAAGTGCTGCGTTATGCAATGTCTAATCTCCTATATGGCAGTGAATGCTGGGCAATTTTCCCTCAGAGACCTGCAGTGTCAAAAATGTTCTTCTACAGAAGGATGCTGAGAATACCTTAGATAGAACAGGGGAAAAACGAAAAAAGTTTCAAATAGAACAGTAAACACTGAAACTGATGCTGACAATCAGAAAGAGATACCTGAAATTTCTGGAAAATATAATGAGGAAAGCAGGCTTGTAAAGTTTAACTCTCACATGACACACTAAAGGAAAGAGGAATCAGCGAGTCACGTGATTGTGTGAATGTACTGCAGAAGGATAATGACATGTGGCAAAAGTTACTTCGAGTTACAAGAGACATGAGGGTGTAGAGTATCATGATCGCCATACCCGGGGGAAAAAAAAAAACTTGGTATATGGAAGAACATACTTTGTATATAAAACTAACGTCACTATATATCTCCGAGATGATTTTTCGGCTCCATCTCTTTTATGTTCTTCCATAAGTATGTTAAAATTGTTGAAAGAATCTCGCTTTTCAACATCATTTGGCTTTTGGAAAAGGACACCTAAAATGACTTCCAACAATGGCAGTCATTTGCCCTGGTTTTGATATGGCATCGATACCTGGAATACTGTAGAGAGGAAATTCATTTAAAAATGGAAAAGTCTGGCAATTTTCTCGCAACTCTCTATCGATTCTTTGCCTTCGGTCAGAGCTATGAGAATATCTATTCGGACGCATAGGCATGAGGTCTTGCCTCGCCAGGTCATTTATTTTAATGATCTTAAATTCATCCTGTCGTAAAAGACACAATCCAATAAGCATCCCGAATTTTTCCTCCATACATTTATGAAAAGAAAATTCCCGCTATTGCCGGCGACATTATTTACAGAGACAGACAGACACACAGAAAGAGGAATATATATATATATATATATATATATATATATATATATATATATATATATAAGTGTGTGTCTGTGTGTGTCTGTGTGCGATTAATGCATGTTTCATTAAATAATATAGACAAGTTTTGTCTATTTATTTTAAGAAAGTTCCTTTCATATTGTCTGATAAGCTTAATAACATTATCATTGAAAGACGAAAGGAAATCACCATATTGATACATGTTTAAATTTAATCTAAGCTTTCGGCTTACATAAGCCATTATCAAAGATGACAATTACTTTTCAATATATCAAACAACACACGGAAGAAACAATAATGATAGTCTGTTTTTGTTACATGAAAAATTTCAAAGCAACGACAAACTCGTGTATACGAGACGCGGAAGCGAAAATCGTGTCGCAGCTCGTGACGTCACACATGACTACGCGAAAGTGAAAAGGAGAAGTATTAAATATGGGAAGCCTTTGATTTCAACCAATGGGTTCTGCTATCAATTATAGGCATGTAAGCCGAAAGCTTAGATTGGATTTAAACATGTATCAATATGGTGATTTCCTTTCGTCTTTCAAAGATAATGTTATTAAGCTTATCAGACAATATGAAAGAAACTTACTTAAAATAAATAGACAAAACTTCTCTATATTATTCAATGAAACATGCATAAATGAAAAATTGCTGCCTAAATATATATATATATATATATATATATATATATATATATATATATATATATGTAATATTAGTGGTCAATATATATATATATATATATATATATATATATATATATAAACCCGGATATAAGAGAGTTGTCAGGACCGGAGAAGAAGTCTCTTATATCCGGGTTTCTCTATATCCGGGTTTCTCTTATATCAGGGTTTCTCTTATATCCGAGTTTGGTCTATTTTGTTTAGGTAATTATGGGAACACTTTGGGACCAGAGAAAATCTCTCTTATATCCGGGTTTCTCTTATATCCGGGTTACACTATATATATATATATATATATATATATATATATATATATATATATATAAGAGGATAGAATCCAGATAGAATCAATGTCCAGATATATGTATATGATGGACTCTCTCATCGTTTTCGACATATGAGTGTCTTTCAGTTCAGTTTTTATGTTTATGTTTCTTATGAGACAACAAACAAATCCATACAAAGGGCATATTGAAGGGTTGACCATCATATGAGTTGATGTATTATCCCGAGATTTAGTGTTAATTCTTAATTCTCTCAGATGGTTAAGACGATTCTTTTCAAAGTTAGTTACACCTCGGGAGTAGGTATTTCTCCAGTTTGCTCGGTTTTAAACAGCAAGTTCGAACTCCTCTACCGGAATGATTGCAGCAATTAAATTGTATTTAAGTTTGTCCTCTAGTGTAACCAAGGACTATCTATGTTACGCTTACCATGAAAAAGCTGCCTATATATGAGGATTTTCGACATCCGATCATCACTCCTTCTGATGACATGATCAGCTCATCTGAACTGTGATTGTATCAGAAAGGATTCGATACCCCCGACACCACATTTGATGAAAAGATCAGGGTTAGAAATTTTGTTCTGCCGTGTATAATATATTTTTAAGTTATGATATATTCACGGGTAAAGTGCAAATTATCAACCACAGATCGCATGTAACAGTTTACAAACAACACTACACAAACAAAAATAACATTATATACTTGCTTTAAATAACTGCATTCAGATCTAAAATTATTTCCACTCAATCAACTCGAGAATAATTTCAAACAAGAACATTACTACCCACGTAAATACCGTTAGGATAATGAAATAGGCCTAGCTTACAAAAAAGGAATATATAAATAATATATTTGTTTATGCGTGGGTGTAAATAGGTATGTCTTTATTAGTATTCCCCGAATATAAGGCCTAGGCGCCACTCAGCATAGAGTATTACTGAAGGAATACGGGCGGAAGAAGAGGTATTAAGAAGGGTACCATAGAAGTTGATAGTATTTAAAATACAGAACAAATAATATTTTGGGACAATTTAAAAAAATTAGCAGCAGTTGTACCAAACTTTTTGACTTTAGTGTGTGCGTATATCTAGCTATCTATCTATCTCTCTCTCTCTCTGTCTCTCTCTCTATATATATATATATAACCCTACTAATATATATATATATATATATATATATATATATATATATATATATATATATATATAATATATATATATATATCCCTACTAATTATCAATTGATCAACTGAGCAATAAAATAATGAATACAGACCGGCATTTTTATTGACAAAAAATTTATTAACAAAACGCCCGTCTGAAGAGATGAATGTAAGTTTATGAAATAAATTATTACCGGATGGATTTTAAAGTTCTATCCTCATTATATATATATATATATATATATATATATATATATATATATATATATATGTGTGTGTGTGTGTGTGTGTGTGTGTGTGTGTGAAATATATATATATATATATATATATATATATATGTGTGTGTGTGTGTGTGTGTGTAATATATTCTATTATTTATATATTATATCCACGGTACTTATTAGAAAGCGCTCAATATCAGAGATAGAGCTAACATACTTAGCTGGATTGATGTGAGTTTGTGACCCTGGGTTTCACGTTTTTGCAATCGTCAGACAAACTGAATATTTTTTTTTTAAATTTTGCATTTATGTAGATTGCGTGCATTGGTGCTATTATGGAAGTGGGGAGGGGAATCGTCGTCGTGATGTCACTCATGCTAAGGCAAACATGGATGCATGTCCGTACACCCGATGAGGTACGCAGACACACATACACACTTGCTCGTCCGTCGGAACTCAACCAAACATAAACATATGTGGACAGTACGAGACTTGACATATATATGTATATGTGTTTTGTTGTCTACATACATACGTATTTGATTATTGTATGTCAATGATGGGATATGTATCCATTTCTCTCTTGAATCACACAAAGAATACGCTGGAAAATATTGAAAAAAAAACACCTGCCTACAGCATCATTACAAAACAATGGCTACTTTGCCTACACGAAAAAGTAGCAATAATATCCCATACCCCGCAAAAGAATTTACTAAACAAAGATCAGAGTTAATTTCCAAATGTAGGTATGAAAATAAATACCTATTTTCAGAAATTGTACCAAACGGATAAAAAAAAGACACCGATAATCACTCTCTTGTTCATGCTACCAGCACAATGATTACGTGTATTATTATCGTCCAACCACCATTACTAATCACTTCTACCAACTTACAATAACTATTAGCTACTAAAATTATTATTAACACTAATACCCCCAACACCATTACTACCACATCACAACTACTTTTACTATATTAGTCCGCTATAATTATTAATGTAAATTACTACCCCCTCACCAAATAAAAACCAATAAGGATTACGAACTACAATTTCTACCAGTTACATATACACAGTCATCAAAAAACAAGCAAATAACCAGCTTTAAAATAACAACAACTCAACCAAAAAAATTAAAAATAATTATCAATTTTTACCTATCATATTTTTACACAGACCCCACCACATGTATATACATGCGAGCGAGGAGGTATTATTCAACGAAAAAAAAAAAATGCTCTGGTTATTGGGCACATCCAAGAGAGAAATGGATACACATCCCGTCATTGAAATTGAACAATCAAATTCGTATATATATATATATATATATATATATATATATATATATATATATATATATATATAAACATTATACACTAGCTTTAAATAACTGCATTCAGATCTAAAACTATTTCCACTCAATCGCCTCGAGAATAATTTCAAACATAACCATTACCACCCACGCAATTGGTGTGAGGATAATGAATTATATTATTATAGCATTAGCTTACTCATAATGTATCTCAATATCTACGTTTTTTCAACGCGATCAACTCCGATAATTGACAGATCGACTAATTTTGTTAGGCGTTAACGATCTGATATGCAAAAGACCATATTTCCTCCTGTTTGCCGGGGAGAAATTCGGACCCAGTATTGACTGAAAATAGATTAGTATCACGTTGAATGTACACAGGACAAAAACATCTAAATTTACTTATGTCCTTTTAATCCTGTCATATCGTAACCATCATTAGGATATATATATATATATATATATATATATATATATATATATATATATATATATATATGGAGGCACGATGAGTAATAGATAGCGGCTCGGATTGAGGAATCGGAGAGCCGAGTTCGAATTCCAGTCGAATCCATTACATTCACTTACGCGGTAACACCCTTGAGAAAGGTATGAATCCTTTTCTTCTACCTACCCAGCTATTGGCAAATAACAGGACAGACGGAGTTCTATAGCCTTGGATTGAAGAAAAGATATGACAACCTAGTGCGGGAAAAAATCTGACACGTCAGTCATGTAACGAAAAATACATGATCCCTTAAGCGTGTTTTACAAATGGCACATAACTGACTGAAATATATATATATATATATATATATATATATATATATATATATATTTATTTCACTCATTTTCAACAGTTAAATTACGCAACGTACAGTTTTTTAATCAACACGTGACGATTGGGTTGCGCATGTAAGTCAGATCTGCGCTAGCAGTAAGGAAAATATGAATATCTGTTAATATATATATATATATATATATATATATATATATATATATATATGTATATGTGTGTGTGTGTGTGTGTGTAATAAAAAGGCTCAAACACTAATATTTCATGGTTATAATTTATTACATTGGAATCGTAATCACGATCCAATTCATCAGACCTAGAAATTCAAAAAGAAATCGGAAAATATAACTCCGGGTATAAAAAATAAAATTGTAGTGAGAGTGTATGTGTGGGAGTAGGAGACAACAAGTGTGAGATGGAAATGAAAGCTCTGTAGAGAGGTGTAACAGAAGAAAGAAGAACAGGAAAGGCATAAAGGTGGAGATTAAAATTTAAAAGAGAGAAGTTTTAAAGAGAGGAGTTAAATAACGGTTTAAATGAATGAGATACAGATAATTATGAATTATTTTTCGATGCATAATTCGCTACCGATTCGCTGATCTAAAATTGAAATTAAAAAACAGACACCGGAAACGTGTGTATACATTTGTGTTGACACTACGCACAATAAAAAACGATATGATCTAAACTTAAAATCCAGAAGATGAGAAAGAGAGGTAAAAAAAGATTCGTGGGGGCAAACTAAAAACGAAGGGCTTTTATAAGAGATCCGATGTGTAATCAAAGAAATTTGACAAAGCAAGTAACATCACCTACAGGTTACAAATTTAACATAAACATATAAAAATTAACGAATATTTAATCTAGTAAGGACCTACTATTTCTATGCCCCAAAACACATACACATACACAAAAACATATCTATATTAAAACGCACATACATACATATACGTGCATATATATATATATATATATATATATATATATATATATATATATATATATATATATATATATATATATACATATATCTCATGCATACATAACATATACACATAAACATACACATATGTGCAATGATAATACTAATAATATATATATATATATATATATATATATATATATATATATATATATATACATGAATTGTTTCAAACCAAGAATCGGGAAGAGAGTTCCACAATCGAGAAACCCAAGAAAAGAAACTGTTAACATAGAACTTACAGTTCCATCTTGCCATTTCAACTGTAAAGTGATGAGACCTTACCGCCAATCTAGTACTGCACTTAAATTCACAAAGTTAAGATACCACAGAGGAAAGTAATATTTATTTTGTTTTAATACAAAAATTTGTGACAAGGCCAAATGTGAGGATAGAGAAAGGTTAGTCTTCAATCTGTTTTATCTTAAAACTTAGCTAACCACAATTACTGACCCAAACATATCACAATATCCCTTACACCAAAACATTATTACTTACCATTCTTAGTACAGCCGCCATAATACATCAAGTCTCTATATAGTCCTAACTACTCACCATATGTACAATTCGTCTGTGAAGGCGGAGAATAAAATAACATATTTACAATTTATACACAAGAAACTAACACAATAATATTAATAATAAAAAAACGACAATCCTTACTTGTAGCAGAAAAATCAGTCAACTAGACTAAATTAATGCGGGGCTAGGTAATTAAGAACAATCATTTGACTATTCACTCCCTCAAACATACACTCATCCAGACACAAAGACAAATACGAAATACACACACGAAAAAAACGAAAAGCGTCCTGCATCTACCAGAGAACTGACATCTCTGTCAAAAATAATACTATAGTGGAAAGTTCATGAGAATAATTACCATGAAAGTGTTTATAGAAAGGTCAGAGATGCGACACTACAGCCGTTGGAATTATCTGACTAGACTGATAACAGCAGTCAGTTCATTGCCACAAAACAGGAAAAAACATGAACTTTTGACTGTTTGTTCATAATTTCAGTCACGATGTGCAATATCTCATTTGGAAAAGAAATAGTATAATAAGAAATAAATAGAAAGATCTTGTCGGTTCATTTCTATCTATCTATCTATCTATCTATCTATCTATCTACCTTAGCATGTTCATATCTATTTATCTTCTATCGAACTATCACAGTCTGCTCATATCTATCGATTTATTTATCTGTCTGTTCATATCTATCTATCTTTCTATCTATCTATCAGTTTGTCTGTCTGTCTCGGTCTGTTCAAGTGTCTATCTCTCTCTGACAGTCTGTTCGTATCTATCTATCTATCTATCTATCTATCTATCTATCTATCTATCTATCTATCTCTGGCAGTCTGTTCATATAAATGTATTTATTTATCACAGTGTCTTCATATCTATCTATCTATCTATCTATCTATCTATCTATCTATCTATCTATCACTTTGTCTCTGTCTGTTCAAATGTCTATATCTCCATGACAGTCTGTTCGTATCTATCTATCTATCTATCTATCTATCTATCTATCTATCTATCGCTAACAGTCTGTTCATATCTATCTCATTCTCCTCTTTGTCTCTCTCTTAGTCTGTTAATATCCTATTCGATTTCATAATACTTTAAGAAACATCGAAATCAAACGCCAAAAATAGCGTCGAATTTAAATTTTCAGTGAAAAATCTGAAAAGCATTCAAACCGCTATTTTCGACCCCCCCCCCACAAAAAAATTAGTTCTTTTAATTCTATTATCTACATCCTCTGTCAATTTCGACAGCTTTCGATTATTACTTTTTTTTTCTTTTGATGGAGGGTGTTTCCTTTGATTTCAATACACTCCTTTAGGTAACCCCAACAAAAGCCTCGGATGCCATCAACTCTCGTGAACGTGATCAGTATTCGTGACTTAAAGGACACCATACATGCCAACATGGCGACTGCTAGATTTACACGTATGTAAAGCTGTATTTGTGATAAAAAATATTATCATACTTTAGTATGAAAAGAATAATTACTATTGAATATTTCCAGCAAGTACATAGTTGCTGTCAAAAAAGGAGGAAGATTAAAAGAAACTATATAAAGCAGATGAAAATCTTTAGGTAGATGCTTATCCTGCTGTTTCGAACGAATGCTAAGTGAGGCTTTCCTCGGGGGACTTTTAATGAAGCGATCAAACGTCATCACACACAGCCGCCAGCGAGAGGATTCATGTTGTGCAGATCAAGTCAAGAAATCAGGTTCATAATACATAGAAAATTATCAAAGTTCTGTTTAAATTCATATATAATTAGCACCCCGACAGAAAACACATACATGCACACATGTAGATAGATAGAGAGATAGATAGATAGATAGATATGAACAAAGTGAGATACATAGATAGAGATTAACATAAAGTGATAGACAAATAGAAAAGGCAATACTAAGAGAAATATCGTTCCATATATATATATATATATATATATATATATATATATATATATATATATATATAGAGAGAGAGAGAGAGAGAGAGAGAGATAGATAGATAGATATGAACAGACCAAGATAGATAGATAGATAGATAAATAGATAGATACATAGATAGATACGAACAGACTGTCAGAGAGATATAGACATTTGAACAGACCGAGACAAAGTGATAGATAGATAGATAGATAGATAGATAGATAGATAGATAGATAGATAGATAGAACGATAGATAGATAGATAGATAGACATGAACAGAGCAAGAGAGATAGATAGAGATTAACATAATGTGATAGACAATTAGAACAGGCAATACAAAGAGAAATATCATTCCATATATATATATATATATATATATATATATATATATATATAGATAGATAGATAGATAGATAGATAGATAGATAGATCGATAGATAGATAGATAGATAAATATGAACAGAGCAAGAGAGATAGATAGAGATTAACATAATGGACAAATAGAACAGGCAATACAAAGAGAAATATCATTCCATATATATATATATATATATATATATATATATATATATATAGATAGATAGATAGATAGATAGAACGATAGATAGATACGAACAGACTGTCAGAGAGATATAGACATTTGAACAGACCGAGACAATGTGATAGATAGATAGATATGAACAAAGTGAGATAGATAGATAGATAGATAGATATTAACATAATGTGATAGAATATAGAAAAGGCAATACAAAGAGAAATATCGTTCTATAGATAGATAGATATAAAATGAAAAGTGATACATAATAAAAAGTGATAGTGTTGTATCCTTAAAGAAGGTTAAAACAGACAAAGATGGTACTCGAGTGAAAGGAACTGCAACACGCGCGTAGATGAAAGAAAAAGAGGTTTATTGTAAAAACGAATAAACTACTGAGAGACAGGGAATCAGTTAGCAGCCTAGTAATTTCCAAAGTAAGTCTGCTATATATATATATATATATATATATATATATATATATATATATATATATATATATATATATATATATATATATATATATATATATATATATATATATATCTACTGATATAATCAGTCTAAATAGGCGATAGGGACTGTGAAAACTCGATTACCACAGATATATATATATATATATATATATATATATATATATATATATATATATATATACACACACACACATATATATATATATATATATATATATATATATATATATATACATATACGGATCGTTAGGGAAAGTAAGGCCTTACTTTCCTGACAATCCGTCTAGGTGAAAACCTAGGTAGGTTTGTCTGGCTCACTAGGTGTATCTAGGTCTGCTCTACGGTTGTATTGAGCGCTTTTTTTAGTTGTTTACTCGTATCGGGTTTTTTTCTTTGGGCTTCAGACCTGCATCTGTGCGATTTTTTTTGTCGGCAGAAGTTCATGTTTGTAGCTCTTTCTTTTTTTTTAAAACCTTTTTTCCCTCGAGATTGATTTGATTATTAGCAAATCAAAATTCTAGGCTTTTTTCGAAACGAGTCTAGTTATCTATATTTATATGTATATATATATATAGATAGAGAGATAGATAACGAAAAATATATATATATATATATATATATATATATATATATATATATATATATATATATATATAAATATAAAAATGAAAACGAATAGAATCCAATTCCGATGTTCGTAACATTTTCTTGTGTAAAGAGGTTGTATCATATTCACATGGCCCAGTGGATAAAGACCTTGGCCAAATCCAGTGACTAGGCACAAAGAATTGTCAGTTCAGTACCATGCCACAGAGGGGGTAAACCAACATTTTGAGATTTGTGTTAATAGAAAATAACTGAGGCATCCGGATGAGGCGTGACACGTGGAACTAGAACAATCTAACCACGGTGGACGAAATAAAGGGTTCAGTTCAAAATTCCAATCACCTGAAGAAGGACGGAGCGTACAACGGCCGAAAAGTTGTGAATATAGCAATGAAGATAAGGGTAACAGTTCGAACAGTGTAAATATTGCAAGTAATCATAATACCTCATCTCAGAAATATAGAGGTCGAAAGGTTGTGAATATGGCAATGAAGATGAGGATAATAGTCTAAATAATGTAAATAATGCAAGTAATCATAATTCCTCATCTCAGAGATATAGAGGCCGAAACGTTGTGAATATGACAATGAAGATGAGGATAATAGTCTAAATAATGTAAATAATGCAAATAATCATAATACCTCATCTCAGAGATATAGAGGCCGAAACGTTGTGAATATGGCAATGAAGATAAGGATAATAGTCTAAATAATGTAAATAATGCAAGTAATCATAACAACGCATCTCGGAGATATAGAGGCCGAAACGTTGGGAAAATGGCATTAAAGATGAGGATAATAGTCTGAATAATGTAAATAATGCAAGTAATATAGAATGTCTCCTTTTTTAAATGTTGCTTTTTTTATATGAAAGAAACATGTTAAAATATACAATTGAAAAATCTGCTTTATTTTCTGAATAAACAAATAAAAACGCAGATCGATTACAACTGTAAAATAAAAAAAAATATCGTAACTGTGTATATGTATTAAACTAGCAGCTTCTTCAAGCCATTTACCCACTCTGCACAAATTTTTGCCTCACTAGACTATTAACCCTAGAGATAAATCCTATGTTTTTTAATTTACAAATATACACTTAAGACTCGACTTATACACGAATATAACAGGTGTGTTCGTTTACCAATTTCAGTAAGTAATTATTCACAGATATATTCATAAATCGAACGAGAGAAGGACGAACAAAATGAAATGGATAAAAAGCGCGGGAAGATGGTGAACGGAAGCGGCGCCATTTTCTCTTTTTATTAGTGTAAAAACGGCGTCTGAGACGCGTTATTCTTTTTAATGGTATTAGCGGAATTTTATCAAGTCTGACGGCTTACACTATATTTCAGCGATATTTTTTCTTTGCTTGTTTTTTTGGCTGAGAGACAAGAAGACAAATAATTGAATAAGTTCATTTGAAAACAAACGTAACAAGGCACTTAGTTCATTTACAAATTTTGTCGGTTGCTTTTTCGCCAGAAAGAAGAGGAGAAAAACGTTTTTTTTTTTGCTCATGTAAGACTTGCCTGCCGTAGATAATGCTATTTTGAGAAGCGAATGACTTTAATTTGTCTCTCTACCTTTAGTTGCTTTCAAATGATCGAAAAGCCACAGTTCATTTGTTTTTCCTGTTTATTCTATTTTCTCTGTGTACATAAATACATTATCTATCTATCTATCTATCTATCTATCTATCTATCTCTCTCTCTCTCTCTCTATATATATATATATATATATATATATATATATATATATCATCCGGAAGTGGTATGGCACGGAGAACTAGAGCAATCTACCCTGCTGGAAAAAATAAACAGTTTTGTTCAAAATTGCAGTCACCTGACAATATTCCGGATAATGTAAATAGTTACAATGCCTTATCTCAAATATAGGAAGATCCTGATGAAGACCGGAGCATACAACGGCCGAAACGTCGTTAATATAGCAACAAAGGTGAATAAAACAATATATAGTCTAGTCTACCGTTTATATATATATATATATATATATATATATATATATATATATATATATATATATATATATATATATACGGTAGACTCTCCTGTCTGATTCGACGTATGAGGGTCAAGCAGCTCAGTTCCTAGGAACCAATAGCGTAGACACCAGCACAAAATAATTTGATTATTGTGCAGGACCAACCACACTTTTTGAAATGTATATATATATATATATATATATATATATATATATATATATATATATATATATATGTATAAAGACCAAAAAAAAAACTATTTTATCCGATGCGTTTATTAAGACAATAGTAAAGATATAATTTTGCGATAAGTATTTATAACCAGATATAAAAATGACTTTTGTTTTTGAGAACTTTTAAATTTAAGAATGTTTGTAAATATACAACAGGCTAAATGAATGTTAAGGTCAATTATGGATGACGCTAAGTGTCATAATGTAAGCAAATGTTGTTATTGATAGTGTTGAATTTTGTTTCTTTTCTTATAATGAAATCATAATTTATTTTACTTAAGCTTGTGAGTAATTTACAAGTTATATAGTTTAGATAGTCAAAGTTTCTGAATTTAATCACCTTTTAATATTCCATAGTCACGTATTTTAGCTTGAGTAAAGGGGTATTTTTTAGGAAGGGAGATATTTGAAAAATTTAAGTGTGCAGATGTATATTTTCGAAAAATTCTATAGCGACACTCGCAAAAAATTTCCGTCATACTAAGTTTCTCTTTTAATCTTAATACTTAACAAAAAAGAAAATATAACTGGTATATA